GAGTCGAGACTCAATCTTCTGCATGTGTACACCAATTTTCCCAGTATCATTTGTTAAAAAGGATATCTTTCCTCCAGCATATGTTTTTAGCCCCTTTTTCAAAGATCAGATAGCTGAAAATGTCTGGAATCATTTCTTCCTTTGCTATTCTGTTCTGTTAATTCACATGTCTATTTTTGTGCCAGTACCATGCTGTTTTTATCACTGTGGCTTTGTAACATAATTTGCAGTTCAGGATTGTAATGCTGCCTGCTTTGCTGTTGATCAGGATTGCTTTTGCTATTCTGGATCTCTTCTGGTTCCATATGAATTTTAGCATTGTTTTTCCTGTTCTGTGAGGAATACTGCTGGTATTTTGATTGGGATTGCATTAGATTTAAATATCAATTTTAGTAGTATGGCCACTTTGACCAATATTGTTTCTCCCTGTCTAGTAACAGGAGATATCATTCCACTTTTTAATGCCCTCTTTGATTTGCTTTTTCAGAGTACTGTAATTTTCAGTATAGAGATCTTTTTCCTCCTTTGTTAATTCCTAAGTATTTCATTTTCTTGAAGATATTATGTGCTGAATTTCTTCTTTGGTGGATTCATATTGGTTTACTAGAAAGCTATTGATTTTTATGTATTGATTTTTGTATCCTGCTATGTTGCTGAATTTAATTATTAATTCTAGGAACCTTTTAATGGAATTTGGGGGGACTTTGATGTGAAAACCATATCATCTATAAATAATGGAATTTGACTTCTTTCTTTCCTATACAGATCATTTTTATTTCCCTCTCTTATCTGATTGCTGTGGCTAAACCAATATTGAACAGTGGTAGTGACAGTGGACATCTTTGTCTCCTTTCTGATTTTAGTGAATTGTTTTCAGCTTTTTATAATTTACTGTGATTTGGGAAGTAGGTTTATCATAAATGGCTTTTATGAGATTGACACAAGGTACTTCTGTACCTATTTTCTTCAAGGTTTTTGTCATGAACAGATGTTGGATTCTGTGAAAGGCATTTTCTGCATTAATTGAGATAATCATGATTTTTGTCCTTCTAATTATGTAGTGTTTTATGTTTATTGATTTGTGTATATTAAATCATCCTTGCATCCATAGGATGAAGCCTATTTGGTCATGATATATGATCTTTTTGATAACTTGTTGCATTTTGTTTGACAGTACTTATTGAAGATTTATTCATTGAAGAGATTAGCTGTAGTTGTCTTTTTTAGTTGAGTCCTTGTCTAACTTTGGAATCAAGGTAATGCTAGTTTCCAAGAATGAGTTTGGCAGTACTCCTTTCCTTTCAGCTGCTTTAAAGTGTTCGAAGAGTACTGGTGTTTGATCTTCCCTGAAGTTCTTGTAGAATTTGACAGTGAATCCATTGGTTTCTGTGCTTTTCTTAGTTTGTAGTTTTTTTTTTAATTAGTGCCTTATTTTTGTTGCCTGTTATTGGATTATTCAGAGTTTTTGTATCTTCTTGGCTCAGTTTTGGTAATTCATAGGAATTTATCTATTTCTCTAGGAGTCTACAATTTATTGGAGTTCAGGTTTTTGAAGTAGTTAATAACCTGAATTTCAGCTGTGTCCATTTTGATTTTGCCTTTTGCATTTCTAACTGTATTGATATGGGTCATTTATTTTCTTTTTTTTGCTAATAGGATTTGTCTATTTTGTTTATTCTTTCAAAGAACCAGCTCTTCAACTCATTGATTCTTTTTTGTTGTTGTTTGGTTTTGGTTTTCTTTGTTTGTTTGTTTTTGAGACAGGGTCTCACTGCATAGTTGAGGCTGACCTGGAACTCATTTTGTAGCCCAGGCTGGTCTCAAACTCACAGTGATTCTCCTGCCTCAGCCTCCCAAGTGCTGGGATTACAGGCATGCACCACCATGCCTGGCAACTCATTGATTCTTTGTATTATTAGCGCCTCAGCCCCAAGTGCTGGGATTACAGGCATGCACCACCATGCCTGGCAACTCATTGATTCTTTGTATTATTTTCTTAGTGTCAATTTTATTAATTTCTTCTCTGATCTTTATAATTTCCTTCCTTGTACTAGCTTTGGATTTGGATTGTTCTTATCTTTCTAGGACTTTGAGGTTCATTATTAGGCTATTTATTTGGCCTTACTCTGTTTTTCTGATGTGGGCCCTTATAGGTATAAGTGACCCTCTTAGAACAGATTTCATTGTGTCCCATAGATTCTAGTATGTGGTGCTGGCATTATCATTTGATTCTAGGAACTAATTTCTTCTGTGATTCATTGATTATTCAAGAGTGTTTTGTTTAATCTTCATGTGTTTGAATAATCTCTGTGGTTTCCTTTGTCATTGATCTAGTTTCTATTTTCATTGCACTATTATCTGATGATATGCATAGGATAATTTTGATTCTTTTGTATTTGTTTAATCATATTTTGGGGCTAATATGAGGTCTTTTGGAGAAAGTTCTATGTGCTGCTGAGAAGAATATGTATTTTGTTATTGGGTGGGACATTCTTTAGATACCTATTAAGTCCATTTGTTCAGAGGTGGTTTAATTTTGATTATTTCTGTGTTGCTTTTTGGCTGGTCTATCTATTTATTATAGTGAGGTATTGAGGTCCCCCACTATTACAGTTTATTGTTTATCTGACTTTTTATGTCCAGTAGTTGATGGAATTATGTGCACTGATGTTTGGAGCATAAATATTTATAATTGTTATCTCTTCTTGTTAAATGCCTTAGCCAACATGTAATGACCTTCTTTGCCTCTTTTGATCAGTGTTAGCTTGAAGTCACTTTGTCCGAAACTGGAATAAGCACTCTTGCTTGTTTTCAGGGTTCTCATGCATAGAATATTGTTTTCTATCCTTTGATTTTTTTAGCTTATAAATTTCTTTTTGGATTAAATATGTCTTGTACAGTATACATTGCACTATTAAATTTTGAATTTTGATCCAGTCTGTCAATCTGTGTCTTTTGTTTGGGGAGTTGAGTCTATTCACATTGAGAGTCATTACCATAGGAGACTGACTTATTCCTGGCACTGCATTATTTTTCTTTGCTGATTCCTTTTTTCCTTTCTGATTAACTTCCCACCCTACCTGGTGTATTCATCTCACTAGATTTTTTGGCTATGGTTTTGTTTCTCTAGGATATCTTTTGAGAATTTTTGCAGTGCTGGTTTGGTGGTCAGTCATGAATTTCTTAAGGTGCTCTTTATCATAGAAAGAAATTATTTCTCCATCAATTTTGAAAAACAGTTTTGTAAGATATATTAGTCTTGATTGAAAGTTGTTTTCTCTTAGGGCTTGAAACACTTCAAGTTTTCCTGACCATCATTCAGTTGACTGAGTATTGTTGATGACACAAAGACAAACCAGATATCAGCATATAGTAAAAACCAATTAATAGCAACAACTTTACCTCCCTGGCAATAGCAACAAAATCAGCAACAATAGAGTCAAAGAGAAACTACATATTCACATACCATAAGAGTGAAAAAAGCTACCACTTTACCACACTTAACAATAGAAAAGATATCTACCATGATAATATAGACACAAAGACAACCAAACATTGACGTACAGTACATTTCTTCTAAATGATATAATTATACCACTATTAGCAGTAGAAAAAAATTCAACAAAAACATCAGTCAACTAAATGTCTAAAGATTAATAAACTTTAGTAGTAATAATAATAATAAAATGGGATGGGAAAGGGGGGAATGAAATAAGAGGGAATAGAGAAAAGTGAGATAAAGTATACTATTAAAGAGTAAAAGAAAAGTAGTAGAATTATGTGAAAGTAGCAGAAAAGAGCAAAGAATAAAAAGAAGACAAAAGAGAGAAAAAGAAAGATAATAGAAAGAAGAAAAATTCCCAAGCCCCTCAAAAAATACCAATGAAAAAAGAGAACTGAGTCCAAAAATGCGCCTCTGTATTTTTGAATGAGTGCTTTCTTTCTGGGTCTGCAGGTTTGGAGTCCACCAGGTATAGCGGAAGGATAATGAGTCACTACTCACTCCCATTTTTTCCACATTCACGTTTGGTTTGTGAATGCTGACTTCTGCCTTCCCTTTGTGCTGGCTGGGCTGGATGCTGGTGCTTCCTTAGGGATTTACTCACTTCAGCCGCTCCCAGTTTCCGCGTCCTTCTGTGCAAGCCATGTTGTTGTTTTCTCCACCTAGCACCTGTGGGTTCTTGTGGTGACCCCTGCTCCAGAGACCCCTCTGCCCTCTGTCCATATACCCCAGGTTTTGGCGACCATTTATACCAAGCTGTATCATGATTACGTTGTCAGATTGAAAGTAAACAGACCAGAGTTTTGTGCTAGAAGTTGGCAGCAGGCCAGGCGTGTCAAGCAATCTGTTGGACTTAATACCAGCACTTTCAGGCCCAGCCCCCTCCAAAACCCACACAAAATTCGCCTGGCTTCTTACTGTGGAGAGCGACCCCTGTGTCCTTCCTAGCCTGGGTTTGAACTTCTCAGAGGGTCTGTGCGTAGCCTGCACCTTCTTCTGCTGCTGTCTCTTGCTGCTGTCTCCTGTGGCTGTCTGTCATATCAGGTCCATATCATGCCCCATGGTAGAGTTACCCTGAGAACCCTGACATCACTATTAATTAACTTCTCCCCAGAATGGCATCTAAATAAACACTCAGATATGGAGGGTGCTGAACTGGATTTCTTCTGAGACAGGGTCTCACTATGTAGTTGAGTCTGACCTGGAACTCACTATGTAGCCCAGTCTGGTCTCAAACTCCCAGCGATCCTCCTGCGTCAGCCTCCCGAGTGCTGGGATTACAGGCGTGTGCCACCATGCCTGGCTCCAGGAGGAATTTTTAAGAGTAAAACCTCACACTATTTTTGCAGATTACAAAAACCAAGGGCTATTCTTTTCTTTTTTCTTCCAGTGCCTGGAATTGAACTCAGGACCTTGGGCTTGCAAGGCAGGTGCAGCACCACTGAGCTCCATCCCTGGCCCCCACTGGCTTTTCTTGTGGCTACAGCTGCCAGCCTGGTCCTTTGTCTCTCTCTGGGGCTGCTGACCCACTCTGAGTTTACCTGGTGTTAGCAGAGACAGGTCTGCCTCCCCAGAGGCGGGGTTAGAGCTCCAGACTGCTTTATTCATTTCTCTGCATTGTGCTCACTTCCTCTTAGCTTCTCTGTAGTTTCTAGTTTTGCTGTCAGCTCTTTCTTGGTTCTTGGAAATCTACTTCATTTTTTTTCTTCACTAAACTGTTGTTTTCTAGGGTTCTCAACAGTTGTTTTACTGTATTGCTGACAGAATAAGGACCAGAAAAAGTCTGTACGTGTTAAGCACAGATGCAATAATTTTTCAAAATATCATTGACTGATGGTTGCATCCACATATGTAGAATCCTTAACACAGATATAACTAATTAAAAGCACAAGTTGTAAAAGCAGTCTTACATACACAGTTCAAGAGCACAACAAAGAAAAGCAGGGAGGGTGCTACTTAGGGTACAGGTATCAGGAAGGCCGGGCTGAAAACAGGGCCATGCAAGGTAGGATTTACTCATAAGGGGGGTGAGAACTGCATCCAGGCAGAAGGGAGAACATGTGCAAAGGCCCTGAGATGAACAGAACTCAATCTGCTTGAGATGAGGGGCAGTAAGCAAGGACAATAGTGGTACTGGGTGGATCTGTAGAGAGAGGCAGAGGACACATAACTTGGGACTTGTATGTCAAAGATGACAACAGGGTTCAGTTTTATTTTAAAATATGAATAGCTGCTGAATGTCATTCAGGTCATGATTCAAGCTTTGTTATAGGATCGCTTCTTAGCTCTGTGGAGGAAACAAAGTGTCACAAGAATAATCTGTAACAGGAAGTGATGGTGACCATTACAAAGTGTGCAAGACAGATATTGGCAATAAAGTCTTTCTAAACAATTGAATGAGCAGGAGAAGGGAGAATTTAGGGTGATCCCTAAGATCTGGGCTTCAGAATCAGTCTGTGGAGGATAAGGAAAGAGCACCATCTGGGGAGATGGAGAACTGTTTTCCTTACCTGTTGAGGCTGAGATCCTGTGACACACCTGCATGGGGATGTTGGGCCGCTGGATGTGTGAGTTTGGAGTAGAAGAGCAGCTAGACTGGAAAGACAGATGGTCAGCACAGCTCCCTACAGCCGAGGGCGTCGCCGGGCTGTCGGGGCTGAGGATGAGGAATGGGTTTGTATGGAACCAAACATTCAGGGCTGACAAACCGCTTGGTGTTTGGGGTTCTGACATTGACCTAGCTGTATTTTCTTACAGTGTTGGCTGACACTACTGGGAACGATGTTTCGTGCATACCTTTAAGATGTTGTACGTGAAGAACTAAAGGCGTCCCTCGGGAGGCCGTGCGGGGGCAGGAAGAGATACAGCGGAGGTTTGCTACAGACACCATTTGTATTCTCAGCCACCTTCCTCACTGACACTGCTGTATGGAAGAAAATGTGGAGGCAGGGGACTCACCTGTGAGTGTGGCAGTAAAGTCACCAGCAGTGTTAAGTAGTGAGCCCATGTGGCCCCTTCAGCGAAAGTTCAGACACCTCTGCGGGTCTGTCCTCCGGGAAGGGCCTCCCACCCTTCTCCAACACCTGCCCCTCCGGCCACTCCAGCAGAGGGACTGCCGCCCTGGTGTCTCCCCTAAGGCTGCCTGAACACCTTTTCCTTACCCTTAACCACCCTCCAGCACCCTCTCCTTGCACGTCTTGGTACAGGAGCTGGGCGTCCTCTCTGCCCCGACCTGCCACCCTGGCACCTCGTGCTGGGTACAATGACGTATCTGAGACCCCACCTAGAGCGTTCGTCCCTGTCACTGCTGTCACTTCCCACTGACCCCTGACCTTCAGGGCGCATGCCCGACCTGTGCCATTGCCTGAATACGGAGAGGGGTTTGGCAGTGGAAAGGGCAGATCCAGCCTATGGGCCAAATCCTGCTTCTTTATTGTTTTTGTCAGTAAAGTTTTACTGGCACACAGACATGTCCAGTCTCTGTATTTAGTCTGGGACGGCCTTTAGTTACAGTGGGAGAATTCAGGGCAACCGCTGTGACAGAGATGATATGTAGGAGCCCGGATAGGAAGATTGAGGCCGAATGGGCCCCCTCGGTGAGCACTAAGAATAAAGGCAGCATTCAAGTGTGTTGACAGGCTTGCAAGAGAAGTAAAGCAGCTGAGATCCTGCTGTTTACCCAGATAAGTACCGTGGAGGGAGGGAGACAAATCAATCCTGTGTAACTCTAATTGCTTGTGCCCGTGTCTGAGTGAGTAAAGCCAAGGTGCACCAGTCACCCAGGGTTCTCTGTTGATGGCAGACAGCGCTCCCTAGTCCTCCACATTTTAACCTGATTCTGTGTCTCTTTACCTTTCATCTCCGTCACCCTTTCGTCAGATTCAAGCTCATAAGTTAGTTCACGAAGCCTATAACACTTCTCTTTATAAAAAATGCCTGCTGATTCTTGATTAAGAGTCCATACAATATGGCCCTTCCTGCCCTTCTAGCCTGTCTTTGGGCCCGTCTCCCCCGTCGTGGGCTCCAGTCAGGCACACACTCGGTGTCCCACAGGGTGCTGTCCACTGGCCATTTCTCTGCCAGGAAGACCCTGCCCAGTGTTTTGCAAGGCTGGCCTCCCCCATCACTCCCGTGTCATCCCTAGTCCTCCTGACGCCCAGCCTGGCCTCGGACTTCCGTGGCTCATCCATTTGCTTGATTTGCCCCAAAGCTTGTGTGTTTATCTACTGTCTCTTCTAATGATTAGGACTTGGTCGGTTGGCACAATGACTTGTTATGGCTGCTCAGTAAATATGAGGTGAACAAATGAACGAAGGGCAGAACCTTTTATAAATGACAGTGCTGTACCACGAAGACCTGGAGTAACTGTGCCGTAGGAAATGTTCTTACCTATTAGTCAGTGCCCCACAGGACCATTTGCCTTCCTTCCATAGCCTGGGTAGCAGGTGGTATTATGCCCATTTTACAGATGAGGAATCTGAAGCTCGTAATGTCGGTGATCTTGCACACAATCACCCAGTAAGCGAGAGCAAGATCAGCCCTGTCTGAAATCTGAAGGCCGCAGTGGCCTGCTCTTGAATCCGGCCCTGACGCCCTTGACTCTTGCTAATGCTTGAAAGTCATCATTCTGGTAATGTCTCTCCGTGAGACCCCAGCTGGCAGATAATATCTTGGGATTTGGGTCTAGGCTGCACATATGCCATTGGTCTGCTACCCTTATTCATTTTTTTAAAAATCCAAATAAAAAATGAAGCCCAGCAGTCAATCTGAATTAATTAGCTTTTCTGGCAGCTGCCATCTGAGAATTAGGAATTATCCTGAGCCCGTAAAATTCTAGCTGATTCTTTTCTTGTGGTGTCAGATTGGATTAAAGGAAATGTTGTGGGTAAAATTAAATGCTGCGCCTTTCTTATTGCCTCAGTTGCCTGAAGATAAATGCTTTTCACGATGATAAATACGCCATAAATTCTCGTAACAATAACTGAAATTCAAATAAATAGGCTGTATAACCCCATGCGACTGTAATGTTCCTTTTATAGTCAGCTTGTTTACTGCTTATTAAAGAGAATGTCTGGTCCTTGCCTTGGAGAGGTTTTAAATCTAGGGTTGCTCTGGATCTTTTAAGGAAATCCCCATGCTGAGCACCTGTTCATACTGTTGAGCATCTGCACTTTATTAAGAGGTTACTGGGCCACCGAGTTCTTAATCCCAAGGGTTGGGATGGGCACAGCAGTGAAGTGAGAAAGGAAGAAACAGGCTGGCCAGAGGTCAGGACCCTGGGCTCTGGCGCCTTGGCCTTAGCTAAGTCGACTTGCTTCATTGTGGCCCTGTTTAATCCCACCCGTGCATACATCCATCATAAAGTACTTACTCATCCCTGACACTGCAAGGACAGTCACTTGCCATCACCAGAGACGAGTAGCGTTGTCCGGGGTCCCGAGGCTGCTCTATGATAAGTGCCAGCTCCACCAGTTAAAATGGCAGGAAGGAGAAAGAAAGCATTTAGCGAGTGGTTAAGCTTAACCAGCAAAGGTGACAGCTTGTTGAGTTGGGAGTTTTACATGTGTAAGACCCAAATTTCCATAGTGAGAAAGTCCAAATTCCAAATTAGGTATCACAGAACCCGTTAAACTTCTCAAAAATCACTGGAAAGATCTAACATGATTGAAAGCTGTAAAAGCATGGGAGGATTTAGGAAGAAATGTGCTTGGGGAGGGGCGCGATGGGCTGGGGCGTCTTACTCCATCTCCCTGCAAGGTGATGAGATTCAGTCCCAAGCCAAGAAAGAGCAGATGTATCAGTCAACTATTGCTGCTAACCAACCACTCCAGACAAGAATTTTATTCACCTCACAAGTCCGAGATTGGCTAGGGATTAGCTGGTCCAAGTTGATCTCATGCATACAAATATAGTAAATTTCTAGGTCGGCAGATCAAGTCTGCTGACCTTATCTGGGCTTGCCCACGTGTATGGGACAAATTGGCAAACTCAGTCTCTCATCCCTTTCCTGTTGTGCAGTTATGGGATCATTGGATTTAATTTCTTGCTCATGGTTGAGGATTAAGAGACTAGGGCTACCTAACAGAGGAGAGAGACGAGAGAGAGAGAGAGAGAGAGAGAGAGAGAGAGAGAGCGCTGAATTTGAGAAGTAGCAACACTGACATCAAGAACCAAGTAAAGAATATACATGTTTCTCATGAACTGGACCCACCTAAGACACAGAGAGAGAGAACAGCCAGGAGGAGCAAACACACTAAGAGAGAGCACTTTGTGCTGCATAAACCACTGGAGAACCAGGAACTGGGGAGCGGCACAGTGGCTAGAAGACCCGGCTTTCCCTTTCCCTTGACAGCTGCAGTTAGGGAGGCCCTAGAGAAATCACCTGGGGGAGGGAGACAATTCTAAATGTAGTTTGGAGTTTTGACAACTGCTTGATCCTATGCAGTGTAACCGGCAAACTGAGCAGTCTAGTTGGTGAGTGATGATAAGCTTTCCTGAGAGTGAGTAGAAGTTACACCGGAATTTTCAACCCATATGGGGGTAAAGCCTACCTCCCCCAGGGAATACACCATGTAGAGGGGCGGGGAGGAGAAAAAGATGAAGTTGCATGTGTATCATAGACTATGTACCGATAACTTGTTCTCTGACTGTTAAAAGTATTTAAATTTTCTTTGCTTCTTTTCTCTGACCTATAATTCTGATTGTCAAATTAAACTCAATTAAGAGACACCTGCCTCGCAGATTAGTACAGGGCACTCTGTGTCTGGGTGGGTCATGGGGTGTGGCCTTGGGGATAGATCTGGTTTCTAGCCCTTCCTCTATGGCTCGCTTCCCAACCTGCTTTTATTTCTGGCTGCTATGGAGAGTAGCTTTGCCCCACTGAGCCTTTCCACCACAGTGTGTATGCCTTGGAGCCAATTTACCATGGATTGAAACCTCTGAAGCCTTAAGCCAAATAAATCATTCCCTGTTTAAGGTGTGTATGTCAGGAATTTTGTCCCAGCAATGAAACAGCTCACCCGTACATCTGCTGTGACTGAAATTACAGAGTGCCTCATGGCACTGCATTTAGTGATATGGGCGCAGTAGTATACATATTCCTGTTACTAATATTTTTGCATTGTAAGTGTAAATTTCATCCATCAGACTCTTCTTTCAGAATACTGACCTTCAAACTTTCTACGTAATGGAGGAAGCACTTCTTACAAGGAAGCACAAATCCATTAACTTGTTAAATCCGGTCTCTGCTGGAACTCAGATGTGATTGGTTCTTACATAGTGGCGTTTCATTTCCAATCGTGCCAAGCAGCATTTTCTTGCTTTTCATCTTTGAATTCATGGTTCTGGAGCTACCCACGAACTGGCGCATTGTTCACAATTGCTACACATATGGCTGAGGAACACTGTCAGGTAAACCAGACAACAGCCCTCTTAAATTCACATCTACCCAAGCGTAGACCAGGACGTGTCAGTGTTGACAGTAGTGACATTGTGGGCAAGGGAGCATCCTGGCCTCTTCTCACCGGACAGTAGTGGGATTGCCATCCTGAGTCCTGACAGTCAACATCTCCCTAGGCGTTGCCAAGCATTTCCTGGGAGACAAATTCACTCCTCATGGACAGCTACAGGTCAAGATGTGACAAGCATGTTGTGGGATGCTGGTTCTTCATATGTGTGACAAAGTGATCACTGGAGGCTGAAATGGTAGACATTTAATTTATAAAAGTAATTAGTTTGAAGGTGGGGAGGGTTGGAGGGGGAGAAGGGAGGGTGGGGACAAGGGGAAAAAATGAGGACCAAGACCTGTTGCATAAAGGTACAAGATCCCAGTAATGAATGTAACTGTACTGTCTACCTAGAATGTACCAATAAATTCAATTTAAAAGAAAAAAAAATTTCGTAAGATTTCATTAATTTTTTAAAATTCCTTGGCTTTCAATAATTTTGATTAGAGTTTTTATATTCAACATGTAACCTTAGCTAGTAGATAATTTTGAATCTTTTAGGAGAAAAAAGTTGTTTTTTCTTTGGTACCAGAGATCAAATTCGGGACCTTGTGCTTGCGTGGCAGGTGGCAGAACCACTGAGCTAAATCTCCAGCCTAAGAGAAAAGTTTTGAAAACATATTTAAGGTTGTTTTATTTTTTAAATTTTTACATTTGCTTTCACTTAAAATTTTGATAAAAAATGTAACATTATGTATGCTCTAAATATATTTTCAATCCTTTAAATCTTGATTAGAACAACAGTGATTCTGCTAAAATGAAGGCAACAGAAAAAGCTTTTATGGATAAACATATAATCATTTATGAATTGTTTTGTCATTGTTTTAATACTTGATCAAGCATCACTGGCCCATTACCAGAACACACAGATGTGCAGATATTAACTAAATTCAGTATCATTGATATTTGGTGACTCTAAGTCCTATAAAAACTGTAGCTTTATTCATATTTGCAATGTTGTCAACATCAAGGTTTATATATTTGTTTTCTTGTCTTTTTTTTTTTTTTGGTACTAGGGATCAAATTTGGGCCCTTGTGCTTGCGAGGCAGGTGGCAGTGGTACCACTGAGCTAAATCCCCGGCCCCAAGGTTTATGTATTTGTTAAAGCAAGCAGATAGAGCATATTTTTAACAGTTTTGCTAGTTTGATGGATAGTATGTAAACATTTAGCTTTAATATTTTGTGTTACATTTAACTAGGATATAACACTAAATAGACTTAAGTTAGCCGGATTTAACATTTAGCTTTAGGATTGCACGGGGCCTTCAATTCTACTCCTGCCTAAACCCTGTAACAGTAGACACAGGCTCCTTCTGGCTTGGATTTGCACTTTAGGGTGTCTGGCGTATCTCAGTGCCTTCGTATTGGTTCATTGGTCATCTGAATTTCTTCTTTTGAGGTATGTGTGGTCAGGACCTTTGCAGATTTTCCCATTTGATTTTCTGCTTCCTTCTTGTTGGTTGGTAAGCTTTCTTTATAGATCCCCAACCCTGTGGCTTGAATTTTCTACTCTTAACAATGTATTTTAGAGAACTGACATTATTAATTTTAATGTAGTCCTCTTTGTCATTCCTTTTTTTTTCCTCATTGAGTTTATTGGTACATTTTAGGTATACATTACAGTTACATTCATTATTGGGTCCTGTACCTTTACATGACAGGTCTTGGTTCTCCATTTTTCCCCTTGTCCCTGCCCTCCCTTCACCCCTCCCCCATTACAAAGACTTCATTGCCATTTTTTTCATTTTCTCATATTTTCCCCTTATTAAATAACATGATCTGATGATAGAAAAATCACTGTTGTTGTTGTTGGTACAGGGATTGAACTTGGGACCTTGTGATTGTGCAGCAGGTGGCAGAACCACGGAGCTGAATCCCCAGCCCTGCTTTTCCTCATCACTAGTCTTTCTTTGGTTTCAGCTTAAGATCTTGTTCCAAGACCAGCAAGATTTTCTCCTGTGCCACCTGTCATGAGTTTTGCTGATTTGCCTTTCTCTCAGGAGTCCCCATTTGACCTGGAACCGTTTTTTGTGTATGAATGCAGCATCCAGGAGGTTGGGGGGGGGTCAACCTTCATTTTTTTGGTACATAAAAATATCCCAAAAGAATCTACAGATAAATCATTAGAATCAATAGGGGAGCTTAGTGAGGTTGCCAAGATTAAAAGAGTAGATTGTTTTAAGCCCCCACCAAAACCCCAGAAATGCAATTTTTTAAAATGCCATTTATGATATCATAAACATGAACTACTTAGGAAAAAATCTAAGCAAGTTAAGAAGACTCTAAAATAGGAAAGCTATATGATTGCACCTGGGAGAGGGGAGCTATACCTCATTTGTGGGCAGCTAACCGAGGCCCCATTGTTTCTGCCTTTCTTATTTTTTTAATTAATTAGTTAATTAATTTTTGGCAGTACTGGGACTCAACCTAGGGGGTCTCTACCACTGAGCTAGAACTTCAGCCCCTTTTAAATACTATTTTTATAATTTTTGAGACAGGGGCCTTGCTAAGTTGTCCAGGTAGTATTTAAACTTTTAATCCTCCTCCCTCAGCCTCCCTTGGTGCTGGGAAGTCTCTGCCTCTCAAACTGCCTCTCCGTGCAGCTCCCAGAAGCCTGCAGCTTGGATCACTTCTGTTCCCCAAGGCTGTCCCCTGAACTGTCCTTCTTCGTGATTTCTCTCCCAATGCCCTTTTCTTCCCTTTTCCCTCAGCCCTTTTAGTGAGAAAGTAGTGCTGGCCAAGAAGAGACTGCTCACTGTAAGAGCATCACACGTGCTCTTAGCAGGACTAAGGAAGCACTGGGTGAACAGCAGGATGGAGGGGCTTGTGGCGAACTCTCAGAAACCATACGCCTACTTAAAATGAGAAAAAATTAAAACCATTTTGATCGAACAAGTATTAGAAGACTAGACACAGCCTACAAACCACTGGTTTTCAAGCCTTGATTTACACCTGTGAATCTTGCCTACACCATGGATTATCTGGGCCTCTCTTAAAAATACTGAAGCCTGGGTTCCCTGCCAGAATTCTGACTTGGCTGATCATTGAGATTTTAAGAAAATCTTTCTGAGTCTAACTAGATAATGCTGAGAACCACAAGATTAGTAGAAGTATTGTGTATTATTCAAGGGTCGCTAGAGAAGAAGAATCAACAGGCTATATGTGCATTTGTTTGTTATAAGCAATTAACTCATAATTGTGAATGCTGACAAATGCTAAGGCCTGCAGTGTCTTAGCAAGCTGGAGACTCAGGACGGGGTCCCAGTCCAAAGGTCAGTGGACTCAAGACCCAGAAAGAGCTGTCTGAGTCTGAAGGAAAAACAAAACCTGGTGGTCCTGTTTGAAAGCAGCTGCAGGAGGGAATTTCTTCCGACTTGGAGTAGGTCAGCTCTTTTCTTCTAGTTGGGTCTTCAACTGATCGGATGAGGCCCACCTCCACGGTCCGCCTGCCGTCTGTTTTGCTCAGTCTACCAACTTAAATGTCAGTCTCTTCTCGAAACACTCCTAGTATTTCACCAAATATCTAGGTACCCAATAGCAAGTTCAGGCAAGCTGACACAGCGTTTACAAGCTGTTTTAAAACAGAATGTCCTGAAGAATTTTCTCAACATAGACTCTCTGCTCCAACACTGTTGTGTCTAATTCATCAAGAGGGATGGGGCCCACGTAAGTGTTTTGCTTTTTAAGTTAGAAGTTCAGCAAAAATCAGAGGAAGTGGCGGAACCCGTATATGTGTCTATAAACGAACCGAGGTTAGCATAGTGCTTTCAAAATCTGAGGAGTTGAGGCTGCAGGGTGCACCACGAAGGGCCACACACAGAATGAACCGGGAATGGCCATCCCAAAGGCATGTGAGCATAGCCAAGCTGATACATGCGGCCCACCCTAGTCTCATGTCCCTGTACTCAGGTGCCAACTGTAGGTGACTCAGGTCCAAGCCCCCCCGGGGCACTGCCTGTTGCCTACCCTTGGCCTTGCTCCGGGATCTAGACCTGCGGCTTTGTTCTCCCTGTCCCAGGAGTGAAAGAGGATGAAGAACAAAGAGACCAGAGTCAGCGTAACATGTGGCAGCCGGTGGGCTCTCACCTCCAGTAGGCAGGGGAGCCCAAGCCTTCGGCTCCCCTCACTTTTGTTCACCCAAACATGGGCACAAGCCATCAAAATAACACAAGATTCATCTGGTTTCTGATCTCCACTAGTACATTTTCTGGTAAACAACTTAACCTCAGTTGTCTTAACTTTTCCCTAATATGCATTATGCACTCACCTTTGAGTGAAGACTTTCTCCTCTGCTCACAGAGGCCAATTAGGCCTTCATTCTGCTCTGGTCCTCGACAGGTGCAACTGGCGGTAGAACTGGGTTGGAAAGAAGGCCACAGAATAATTATTTCTGGGAAGGCAGAGCAGTTGGAAGAGAAGGTGGATGGCACTTGGATACCGTGCCCTTTGAGATGGGGCAAGGGTAGCACAGGCCCTTCCTGTCTCTGCCTCGCAGCCATCCTGAAATGAGCGGCGTGCTCTGTCATACTCCTGTTGGGAGGTACTGTGCTTCTACAGGCCCAGAGCAACAGAGACAAGTGGCCATGGCAACGGTGAGCCTAAATAACCCCTTTCTCTTATTAAGTTGATTTATATTGAGTATTTGTTACAGTAATGCAAAGCTGACTAACACGAAAACTTGGGTGCCA